ATGCTCTAATAAATTTGTTAGTCTCTAAGGTGCCACAAGTACTCCTGTTCTTCTTTTTGCGGATACAGACTAACACGGCTGTTACTCTGAAATTTAAGAATAAAGAACTGTTGCAGTGAACCTGTAGGAGTGTTGAAAGCTACAAACATCCATTTAGAATTGCTGTTTGGCAGAAATGTGTTGCAAGCTGGACCAAATGAGGACTGGCCAGGAATGACAGCTAGTGAAAAATCAGACCACGGGGACAGTGTCCAATGTAGCTAGCATCTCAAAGCCTCTCATGGGACAGAGGTCAAGAGCTGTGAAGCAATCCAGTCAGTAGTACAGCCTGGGGCTGACTTGACAGAAGCACCTGTAGAAGGCAATAAAAGGATCCGAACTGTTCTTACGATATGCTAGGGTGTTCTCCAAGAATACTGAAGAACTTGAGAGATATGATTAGCGGCAACATCAAACTGTGCTTAAACCAGAGAGCATTCCCATGATGCAGCCTCCACATCAGATCCCCCTGACATATCAGGTAACATTGAAATAGAAACAAGCAGTCCAGTGGCACCTTAAAGACTAACAAATTTATTTGGGCATAAGCTTTCGTGGGTAAAATTTGCCAAGTCTCCGTGTTGTTAATTAAAGCAATTATTAAGTATTATTTACCTTAACTTGCTTTACTAATATAGGACACCATCGTTGTTGTTGTTTTTGCACTTTCTTTTTTTCATTAATATTTAATGAAAACTGGGCTAACTGTGTCACTAATATTTAATTACAATTACTCATTGAAATCATTAGGGCCTGATCCTGAAATCCTTATTTATGTAAGTAATCCATACTCATGCCAACAGTCTGATGGACTTAAATGGGACTACTTGCTTAAGTAAAGTTTACTCATGTGAGTGAAGGCTTTAGAATCAGGTTCTTAGCTACTATGTACTTAATTCTATCTTTACGCTAAAAGTAGGCTCAAGTTCTGAAGTCTGCATCTGGATTTCTAACCCTCCTTATTTTGAATGCATTCAGATCCAGGGACTTGGTTCTGCCCATTACAGATAGAAATAACTGCAAAACTCAGATCTGGGGTTGGTTTTCAAATAACCTTCCCACTAATACCCTGGGGATCTTTAGACTCATGGTTTTGATCCATTTCTATTTTTCTACGATAAGTAGATATATAATGAGGTCTAACTCTTTAGTTCATATTTCTTGAGAATGTAGCTGTGAAAAAAGAACTCTGAAATCTTTGCATTTACTAAAATTATCTCCCTATCCCATTACGTAATTTTTCATCGCATTTTAAAAGCATACTTTGAAGATGTGTATTACTGTGCATTCAGGATCACATTTACATTTCATTTATTGTTTCAGGACAGAAAAAGTGGATGAAGTTATTAAAGAATGGGAAGGATCTTTCTTTAAGGACAATCCTCATTTAAGGAAAAAGTCTGTTTCTTTGCGCTTTGATCTCCACCTAGCAGCAACAGATGACGGATGTTTACAGACTAAACAAAATAACCTACCTGACATTGAAGTCAGGCTGGTAATGAGAAGGTCTTGCAGTATTCCATCTATCAAACCTTAACCTGCAGCAAACTAACTCAAGGGTCATTTATGATGGGCTTTGGAAATAAATAACGTTAGGACAGATCTAGACGGACCACATGGCTTCCCCTCACCTTGTCACAACTATGAAATGTTACTAAGTATATGCTTTAATAAATATATGAATAATGTCAGATTCTCTTAAATGAAAGAGAGCAGGGTAAGGTGTTATATTTCAAGAAACCTAACTCCTATTAATTTTTTACTCTTTATTAATTTTCTCATTTGTTTTTTCCAAAAACCTTGCTTTGCTTTGTAGAATTTCGTCAAATATTTAAGTATTGAATTATACCTTTATACTTTACATTACTTTTCTAACAAAGAATCTGTTTTCTCTTTTCAGTTAATGAAAACTGAACATTTTATTTTTGTAGTTCTTCAATATAAAAGTCATAATGTATCCTTGTATCACTTACAACACAAAAGTATCATACTGGATGGTATACATCTAAAACCATTTTTTTAACTGACAAAAGGTAAATGCATACAAACTCTTAAAGTATGTAAACTATTACAAATAATTATAAATAAATTTTCCTTTAAAAGGAAATGGCTAATTTTTTAAAATTTATTTGAGAAAGTAACCCATCCAAAATTGTCTGTTTTCTCCTGTGCATCCATGCACATATTCCTTAAGACCAGTTTTACAAGGAAATAATATTGAGCGATATCATGCCATTGATTTTTAAGGAGAATTCTCCATTAAAATCAATTCAGGGTTCTATTTTAAAACTGAGGGTATGATATAGGCCATTGAGATTACTACATTTATAGGTTTCCCATTAACTACCTCTCTGAGTTCTAGTGAAATATAGAGGGTGAAATCCAGACTGCTCTGTAGTCAATAGGAGATTTGCAATAGATTTCACTGGGGCCAGGATTTCACCCAATGTGAAATACAAAATACTAGGCCTAGTCCCACAAGCCCTCCATGCATGAGATTTCATGACTTTAATGGAAGTTCCACACTCAGAAGTCTTGTAGGATCAGCCCCAATGTGTTACTAGAAAGATCCACAGGCTCTATGGATACAGTAGAACCTCAAAGTTACAAACTGACCAGTCAACTACACACCTCATTTGGAACTGAAAGTACACAATCAGGCAGCAGGGTTGAATATAAACTACGGAAAAAATTTAAAAAAATTAAACAAAGATTTGACAAGGTAAGGATCCTGTTTCTATGCTTATTTCATTTAAATTAAGATGGTTAAAAGCAGCATTTTTCTTCTGCAAGTAAACTTTCAAAGCTGTATTAAGTCAATGTTCAGTTGTAAGTTTTTGAAAGAACAGCCATAATGTTTTGTTCCAAGTTACAAACATTTCACAGTTATGAAGAACCTCCAATCCTGAGGTGTTTGTCACTCTGAGGTTCTACTCTATTGGCATTATATAAATATAAAATGAAAAATTCTAGAACTGCTTCTCCCTCCTGACTAATACATCTGTATTATCATCTGAGCAATAAGAAAATAGTTCCTTGAAGCTGTTAAAAATTTAGCCATCCCACAATTCTGAAAATAGTTATTTCCATACATTTCCAGTTGTTACAGTAAGTATTTAATTAAAGTAATTTATATAAAATCCTCTTTAAAAAGTAATTTATGCTACTGTCTTACAGTACACCTCTACCCCGATATAACACTGTCCTTGGGAGCCAAAAAATCTTACCGCGTTATAGGTGAAACACATTATATTGAACTTACTTTGATCTGCCGGAGCACGCAGCCCCGCTGCTTTACCGCGTTTTATCCGAATTCGTGTTATATCGGGTCAGATTATATCGGGGTAGAGGTGTATATGGCACATCATTATTATGCCTGGGCTTATTTACTGTATATTTAATTAAATTAACCAAATAAGGACTACAAATTTAAGTCACAGATTTTATTATACCTTTTATGGTATCTTCCAATGCTAATTCAAAGCAGCATGGGCAAACCTCAGCTACATTAGATAGCTTTCTTTCCACAAGAAAACAGAAATACAAACTTATACAAACATTTTCTTTAATAGACTGTGAAACTAGGTTTAAACAACATATATGTTTAGGTAAGACTGACTGTTTACTTATGAAGAAGATCTAAGGTGTTGACCTTCCAAACTCTAATTGAAGTTCATGGGAGCTGCAAGCATTCAGTATCTCTGAAATGCATTCAGTATCTCTGTTTTCTGATGTTTCACATTAGCATGTCAAAATTTTATTCAGGTGTCAGCAATTGCCCTATTACCTATGGCATGCAAAACAGATACTGGCACTGCAAATTTCATCCAGTATTTAGTTAACCGCTTCTAAATTGTATTAATGTAAAAACAATGCATTTATACTGTAGGCCATTGTTCTATATCTACTGTACTAAGCCAACTAATTAACATTAACCTTGACAGTCAAATATTGATCTGGTGGTGTTAATACTTGAGTACTTGGCATCCTGAATGTAATAGCCTGTTCTAGTAATTCCACTATGCAGCTTTTCTGTGTTTATAGTATATATCTTTTACAATACTTGAATTTAAAGTAAGTTAAAACTGCTTTAAGGCACTTTGAACAGGGATATGAATTTACCAAAGTAAATGATACCACTGCTATAAAGAATAATAAAATTGAACCTGAAACTGCATATTATGTGATTTTGACATGCACTTATATTGAAAGGTGTGTGCAGGTGGGGAGGGGCGCGCGTGCACACACACACCCTAAAATGAATGCAGTGGACTACAGGTACTCTAGCATTACAACCCATGCTTGCTATAGATCTTCTCTACAAATATTATGATCCAGGTTTCCTATGAATCTTCTCATATCACATGGGGGGCAGGGGGGTGGGTATATTGCCTGGTATATCATCATTTATTTATTATTGACTGTTAGTATTTGGGTATGCCAGTGACCCTGACCAGGACTGGAGCCCCACTGTGCCAGCCACTGTACAAATACAGAATAGAAAACTGAAGAGTTTACAATCTAAAAGACAACAGCAAATAAGTAATTATCAGAAGTCTAGACTGACATATATGACAGTAAAAAACTATTTAGGCACATGGATACTCACAAGAAAAGTTTGCACAGGAACATAGGAATTGCCATACCAGATCAGAGCAATCATCCAGAATCTTGTATCTGACAATGGTCTGTACCAGATGCATCATAAGAAGGTGCTAGAATCCCTGCAATTGGGTAAATATGGAATAACCTTACCCATAAGGAAAATTTCATTTTAACCATCCATCATTTGGCATATGCCATGAAACATGATATTCTCTGTATTTTTTATCCTATCTAATGCAACTACCACTGTTCTCACTACCCATATAAACTTTTATTGGACCAACTTCTGTTGGTGAGACAGGCAAGCTTTCTGGCTTATGCAGAACCCTTCTTCAGGTCTGTGAAACATATTCAGGGCATGTCTTCACTGGCAACATTAAAGTGCTGCCGCGGCAGTGCTTTAACGTGGCTTGTGTAGTTGCAGAATAGCGCTGGGAAGAGCTCTCCTTCCAGCACTCTAAAAAAACCACCTCCATGAGGGGTAGGGTGACCAGATCACCCAAGACAAATATCGGGACGCGGGGGGAGAGGAGGGG